ATATTTTTAATTTAAGAACAGATAACATGTTTGTTATTACATTGTTTAATTATAAATGTATATTTTACATTTGAATGTTTTATATTTTACTATTTGATGTATATAATTAACAAATAATTATTTTACATTATTATTATTATTTTCCGGTTAGAAGTGCAACTTTTATTTTGACAGCCCTTGATATCGCTCTCATGACCTGGATATGGCCATGTTGTAGATTGATGCGCGCTTCTGTTGCCGCATGCACTACTCAGCGTGTGGTTTCTTGTGAATAACACTACGGTCAATATCCCGTTTTGCAATGGAGGCGTTTAACCAAATATTACTACAGTACCCGCCATTTGTAGTTGGCGGTGTCGGAGCAACAGCGATCGCTGCAGGAGGAGCGCTGATCTACAGAATTGCAACCAGGTATTGTGTCCCTGCCCATAAGATGTCGCTGGGCCTCGTATAACTGACATGAAAGTTGAGCTAGGGCTACGGAAAAACACTGCACTTTCTCAAGGTTTCCTATATAATGAACATAAATTGGCAGTAGTATTTTAAACAGTTCGTCCGTGAAAAATCCTTGCGCACGCGCGGAGCTATTGAACGGCGCGCGCTAACGTTATACAAACAAGCGCGCGAGATTTCGTAAAATGGCTTAGGCATGTCTGTCTCTGGTACTTAAAACATACCAAAATTCACAGTTATATTAGTATTTTTCACCAAAAATAACATAAGTATTACAGGTATTGTTATTTCTGTAAATCAATGATTAATGTACTAATTCCTTCAGTGTGTTCATTCATCTTTATTTGTTGATAGCAGTGGTGGTTTAGCTAATGACACCTATTCCAAGTACGTTAATTGTTATTTTGACAGATAACTAATTACCTCGGAAAAGATTAATTTCTATCAAAATGATGCGTATAATGCTAGACTTAAAGCAAAAGTGGACGTGAAGATCCCAACTTCTCTTACTGGTTTTACACAAAAGCTGTGATCTTATATTAAATAAATCAGTCATATTTTGTCTCGTACAAGGTATTCATTTACATCATTTAATAGGCTGTGGAGTAGTAAGATACGTAATTCATGTCCAGGATTTTAGTTCTTTTAAATTTCTAAGTAATATTAAACATGCCAGCACTTGTCTTAATGTGGATGGACGTTATCATCTTTTATAATGTCACAGGCTGAGTTTATTAATGAATCAAGCCTCTATCAGCCTGTAAATAGAAACTCTATTCATGCTACTGTTAGGTAATCAGTCTCAGGTCCTGAGGCATCGATTGTGCTGTCTGGAAAAACAAAATCTCAGTTTTACATTAGATTCAGTGCTCAGGCTTTACATTAATTTCCACTGAATATCTTGCATGTTCCATGGAAATTGATACAACCAAAAACACTGCCGCTTGTAGTCCTAGTTATTAGACTGCAGGATTATTGTCTGTCTGCAGAACAGGCCTGTGACCTGTTAATTGAGAACCAGTGTGATGGTCTATCGGCTCAGTGTTAATGGGAGTATTGTATTACAGTTGTTTTCTGTTATTAATGCATGGTAATTTGCAGCTGTGCTCCTAAATCCAACCCTTTTTATTCGACAGGAAAAAACCAACTCATGTCAAAGTGAATTGTTGGTTCTGCAATCAGGACACAATTGTCCCCTATGGGAACAGAAACTGCTGGGATTGTCCATACTGTGAACAGTATAATGGCTTTCAGGAGGTATTGATTTTATGTTTATAAGATTTGTTTGTTGTGTCTCAAGATAAAGGTTTTGAAAAGACAAAAATATTACGTTACATGTGTTTATTTATACACTACCTTTCAAAGTTTGTGCTAGGTAAGATGTTTTTTTAATGTTTTTGAAAGAAGTCTCATATGCTTACCAAGAATGCATTTATTTAATTAAAAATACATTAAAAACAGTAATATTGTGAAATATTATTACATTATAAGATAATGTTTTGAAATGTAATTTATTACTGTGATGGCAAAACTGAATGTTCAGCGATCATTACTCCAGCCTTCATTATTTCAGAAATCATTCTAATATGCTGATTTGGAAATATGAATTATTAATATCATCAATGTTAAAAACAGTTGTGCAGCTAAATATTTTTGTGGAAACAAATTTTTTTCAGGATTCTTTGATGAATAGAAAGTTCTAAAGAACAACACATTTTCTATGTTTTATTACTGTGTTGCTGACGCAGCTTTTGGATATGTTATAAATGTACATTTAGTCAGTGTCAAGCAATTGAGTTTTTGTGCTTGTTTTCATAGAACGGGGACTACAACAAACCCATTCCTGCTCAATACATGGAGCATCTCAACCATGGCATTTCGGCCGGTGTCCCGGAGTCACCGAAGACCCTGCAGTGGGTCAACTGTCAAATGCTTCTGTGCAAGAAGTGCAACAACAACCAGACTCTGAAGATTAAACAGCTGGCCTCGTTCATCCCCAGGGATAATGTAGGTTTATAATTCACCCATTTAATCTCTTAATTTCAAGACGGCCAAGGTCTAAAGCTCGTTTCTGAATAAGATTTGCTTTTATGCATTTTATTAGTGCTGTCAAACGATTAATCATATGATTAATCACATCCAAACGCATAATATATGTGTGTGTACTGTGTATATTTGTTATGTTTATATAAATAAACACACACACGTGCAGCATATATTTTGAAAATATTTACATATATCATATATAAATATATTTAACATAAACGTAACATATTTTTCTTAAATATATACATGCATGTGTGTGTATTTATATATACATAATAAATATACATAGTACACACACATATACAATGTAAACAAAAACTTTTATTTTGGATGCGATTAATCGTTTGTCAGCACTACTTTTTATACACTTTTTGAGGCAAAATGTCATAGATTAAATATGCCATTCAGTAGGCATCTAAACATACTTGAAAGTCTAATTTATTTGAGCTAGAATTTTTTTTAAATGTGAAAAGCATCAGCTCAAAAACAAGTATCATGCATTTACAAATTTTAATGCACTGTGTTCACCATAATGGCAGGAAAACTATGATGAGGAGATTGAGGTATATAAGCACCACCTTGAGCAGACCTACAAGTTGTGCCGGCCGTGCCAGACGGCAGTGGAGTACTACATCAAACACCAGAACCGACAGCTGCGGGCTCTACTCTTCAACCACCAGCTCAGACGCAGTCGGGATGCTGATAAAGCCTTTATTAAGGTGGTGATCTCTATATAAGCCACAAGACTTGACATGAAAAATATAGAAGATTCCACTTTTGTAGCACTCTGAAGTTATGTTCTAGAAATCTAAGAGATTGATTAAGTGCTAAGGGCTTGACATGGAAAAATTGCATTGAATTTAGATGTTGCCCAGATAAAACTGCAATTTTACTACAACCTAGGTATCGTTTGTTACATGTATCATGTGTGATTAATGACCAGTATGTTACTAGTGTTTTCTTAAACCGCTGATAAATGTGTGGAATTGATTGCCAGAGATAAGAAAAGACTTGTTCTCTCTTGCTTCTTTTGTGTCCTGAGTATTTTATTGTGCAGCTACTGTTGATTCAAGTTTAGTTTTTAATCAAGCTTGGCATGCAAGTATCAAAAGCTATTCCCATATCAAGTGATCTTTCATTAATTTTTTATCCTTTTCTTCAGAACACCTACTCACTCGCCACACCAGCCTGGTTGATCTTGCTCAGAGTCCTTGCGTTTTTAGCCTGTGCCTTCCTTGTAGCTGTGGCTTTGTCTGGATCTGGAGATGTGGCCTCCTCCATCTCGCGGACATTAAGCGGAGGAGTCAACCCACCTAAACGCCCCCTCCAAAATGACAGTGAAAGCAAGGCTGAGGAGGGCAGCATGATGTGGGATGATCTGGTGGGTCTTCTGCCGGAAAAGGCTGTGGAGAACGCTCGACTCGTCTGGCAGTCCGGAAGTGACCATCAGATGGCCGTGGCTTCTGTTGGTCTCCTAACTTGCATCACAGGTGTCTTAATGGCAGGACCTGTCAGGTGAACCAATTAAGTTATACCTAATTTATTTCATGAAAAAATACATTTACCAAATTGTACGTATTTTTACATTTATTTTACATTTTATGCAAACATATTTCAGAATGTGAAATAGATAAATATATTTTCTAAGTAATGTATGAATAAATGTGTGTGTGTATATGTGTATATTTTTATACATACAAATATTTATTATCTATAATATATATATATATATATATATATATATATATACATATATATAAACATTA